TTGGAGCTGTCTTTTACCAAGGTGTACCAGCAGACGCCTTGATGACTGTAATGACGACCATCTAATGTGGTGAAATGGGGATCACAAGTAACAGCGCCAGCTGTTGAATAGAAAAAGCATCCCAACATTAAATTCGCCAGCGTGAGAATTATTAACATGTAACTTATGTAGGGTAGCGTGCAGCATAAAAACGTATTTATTTATAGTTATATACTATTATGTTTGTTCGATAATACAATACTCACTACATATATCCTCATTTCTGATTGTCTCAGTTCCTTGCATCAACAGGTTTGAAATGTCCCATGAATAAATATTGCCATTGTCAAGGTTTTCAATAATTTCTTGGTTCGTGAGCACACGATTCCACAGGTTGAAATTCGTCATTTTGCCAACAAACGCTTGAAAAGGGTCGAAACCTCCACCAACGACGTCTTGGTCTTGGCCCAGTACTAGAACACCGCCACCTTGAATCGGTGTTCCTTTTGAAACTGTACCAGAATCAACTAGCACTCCATCCACGAATATCTGCCACCGACCTGTCACCGATGTCCATGTGAAGCAGATGTAATGGCACACACCATCATTGACAGCATCGACATTTGTCGTTCTAGAAACAGCATTGATGAGAAATCTTATATTCTTAGAATCCAATAAAATCATCTCGTTGTGGTTATTGGGCACTGCATAGGAAACCATGGTACCATCATTGGTGCTAGTTGACCTCATCCATAGGCAGAAAGTGACTTCAGTTAGTTGTGGCACAGGTGTAGTAATTCTTACATTAGAATCTGTGTCGTTATAACATATTAGTCTGGTCAGTCCTGGAAATTAAGCACAATTGATTAGGGTTCAAATTATCATATTAGTACTGTAAAAAGATGATAATGCACACAAGCACGGGGACTAACAAGTTCAATGTGACATCACAGGGATTTGTTAAAATATGCATATACACAATCACTCTTGCGTAACATGGTTTTAGGATAAACTGCTTCGTTTAAACGAATATATATGAAGGGAGAGTTGAACGTGGGCCGGTTTCAAAGTCGGTCACGCGTTTTTTTTACTTTCGATTTACTGTGTTTAATTTAATAAGAATTTATTGAAATAAATGTAATTTAATGGCCATCCAGCTAAAATATGAGCCACCGGAGTGTTGCTTTTCAACTAGTGATATAACACTCCAAGTAAAGTTGTAAATAACCACACAGATGCTTTCTTTGCAGGTGGTACTCGACAGGTATGTTCATCTCAATATAGAGAATTTGTCTACCAAGCATTGATGAATACAATGCATGTGTTGGTGTTTGGTAGTGTATGTCGTCACTGATTGTGTGGGCGGAATCTAGATGTGTTGTCCGAACGTGTGGAATATAATATTATAAATTGTAGGGGTCATGGCTGTACATGTTCGTTTACTCTAGTTTTCATTGACTATGCAATTCCAATTAAATCATTGTACAAATATTCATATTCACTCGAAATTCGCAAGATATTCATAGTTTACAATATAAATGTTTCTATAGATATCCCGAAAAATACAAAACAATCAATACTTATAAGAATGGTCTTAAAACATGAATAATCATACAGTGAAATACCTACTTACCTGCACGTTTTGATAATGACTTCTGTAAAAAAAAAATGGTTTGTCAGTTTCTATTTATAAAAAGAATATGCCACTTTCCAAAATACTGAAATGTTGTACGTTCCATACTAATTACACAAAGTCATATAAGTTTGCATTGAACACGATATTCATATTTGTGACGATTCTGAGAATAGTTTGCCTATCTATATACATAGAGGACAATAACGATAATATACAAATGTATTG